GATTGATCATCTCGACATCAAGATGCATGCCCATGAAAAAAAAAAAAAAAGTATACAGAAATAGTGCAATTTACAACATATTATCATTTTCAAGATTTTCATATGTTTATAGATCTACTTGATTTTAACCATTTTTAAAATTTAAAATTTTTTAATTAGATATAAAAATAGATTTTGAGATAATCTTAAGAACATTTTACATCAAAATTATATACCATGATAAAATTTGAAGGTGCACCTTACCTCTATAGCTACGGATGCATTCGTAAGCCAACTGCACCCAAAATTATTTAATAATTATGAGTAACTACGTCACAAAATGCACATTCACATTACATGTACCATCCTACCTAAATGATGAGAATGAGCTGGGGCATTAGCGGTAGTACCAATGAGCCTTATGATGAAGTCTCTAACTCCATTCTTTCGAAGAAGTAGCGGCTCAAATCTCGACTGACTTTCTCTTTTTTTTTTCTCTACCTAAATGATTGTATATGCAAATGAACCTCCACTAATGGCCTGCTTAGAACCTTGTACATGCAAATCAAGTTTTGCTTATTTTGGTCTTTGAGGTTGAAAGACTGTTTGGCACAAAATGCCTAGCTACATATCCTGATTTTGCACATCCATAAAATATCTCAAAGTGCATGTTGCTCAATTCTTGTTTTGTTCTTTTTTTAATATCTGTCTCTTACTCACTCTCCCCTACCATTGCTACAAGCCCAATCGAGCCCACTCGCTCAACCTTGCGAATTGATTGAAGCTATAAAACGACCTCAATTGATTCGCCATCTCTCGTACATCATTTTGGGCCCCATTGTTAGCGTCTTTTTTTTTTTTTGTAGATCTATCATCTTTCCATCACTCATCTTGGTTTTGCTTGCATCATCAGATATATGTATGATGGATCATTTTTTTTTCTACTTTTGGGTTTTTATACTCTTGGTGCATATGAAATGGAGGACATTTGAATCTTGGGGCCTTAACATAGTTTTTTGTCTTTCTTTTTGAGGTTTTATTTATAGTAGGTTAGGTTTTTCTATGGTTGTTAAAAATTAATTGCTTCAATGTGCTACAAAACTTTTATTGCTTGTTGGTTACATTGATCTTAGATGTTTGAACATCTTTTTCTTTTTTTTGGTTGGGGGGGTGCGAGGTTTATTGATCAAATGTTACAAGTGTGTTTTGGAGTTTTCATTGGAGTATATTATTTTTATCATAGATATTTTTTGGGGTTTTCATTGATTGTAGAGTACAAGTTTTTTGGGAAATTATCGCTAATATACTTATAGTTTAAGGAAATTGGAAAAAAAACCCCAACTTCTCAAACCTCGCTTACACACTTTTTTCCCATTTTTGTAAATTTTTGGACGAAACTACCCTTTATGGTATTCTTTGTACCGTAAAAAGCATTACGACATTTTTAATACTATAATGTTTAGTTGCCTCTATACAGTAATGGGAATACCGTATTAATAAATAAAATGTGTACGGTAATATGGTTACCGTATTGTTTTTACAATGAATTACGGTACTCGTAATACCGTAATACTTCCAAAATTATATGCAGTAATAAAGTTAACGTAATACTTCCAAGATTATATTTTTTTTACCAAATTTTTCATAAAACCCTCTTTTGACTAATTGTTTAGCACTTTCATCCTTTTTTTATCTCTCTCATCCATTTTTTATCTCTCCCATCTATTTTCTATCATATCATCTATTATTTATCAATCTTTGAAGGACGTCTCAGAGAGCATCAAATTTACACACCAACTGATTTTTAGGTATGTCATCAAATTATTATGTTGTTTTTAGCATCTAAAAAAAATATTATGTTGCATAAATAAGTTTTAGATTTATTTATATTGTTGTATAAATAAGTTTTAGATTTATTTAATGGTTGGCCACCAAAATAATGTTTTCCTATAATACTTGATGTAGTTTGCTTGGCCGTTGTAATTTTTTTGTATATTATGACTTGCAATCTAATGTCCCCCATGCAACCTCCTCACTATTTGTAAGTATTTTGAATTTTTTATAAGTATTTTATTTATGTTTCCATCTGAAATTTTTATAGAGTGATTCGACTTGTACACAACAATAATGGATGAGAACATTGTGAAAATCGTTTTACACTTTGATGGTTTTTTCAATAGGAAACCTAATGATATAAGTATTTTTTATGACGGTGGGACGTAAAGGTTATATATTTCATTATAGTTATATGATTCAGAGTATCATTTCCTATTTTATCCCTTTGAAATGCATATTCGAAGTTGCTATCGGATCTATTCATTAAAAAAAATCTCTTCGATACATTTCTTATGTATCCATAGGTCCTATATTGGATATGAATAAGATTTCGGATCAATCTATATTGATTGACTGCCTCCATTATGTTGTTGCTAGCAAATACCCCTATTTTTGGATCTTCGAGATCTCCTGCATTTTTAAGGGGATCTCATCATTTGAATAAGTCAAGGATCACTTGTCAAATATATCAAATTATGTCCCAAGTACCATGCCTATTAGGTATACTGACCCAGGATTACCAAGTAATATGATACGTAGTGAAGATGATGACGACATTGTCAATATAATGGAAGAGTCTTTTCCCATCGCTATTTACATATCAAATAAACCTATTGAGTCTAACTGCATTGAATATCGACTATCAACAATGCCCGATATTGGTCCGTCTGACTGCACTGAATATCGACCACCAACTATGCCCGATAATAATCCATCAAGATTGGTCATGTAAGAAGTTTGCAATGGAAATCATTAATTTTCTTATTTATCAATTTTTGTTATGGGTTAGGATAATTTTGATTTGTCTTGAGTTTTTTTTTTCTACAGCACATCTCGACCAGAGCAAGTAGGTCACAGTGAATGTGCTGATGGTATAGGCGTACAAGATGAGCATGAATCAGAAATCGAACGGCATCTGGACAACGTCAATCAAATAGAAAGCCCCTTGAGGATTAACCGTTACGAAGTTGTATTTAAAGATGGTCAGGATTGATGTACATGCATGTCGTAATCATCTTATTGATTATGCCATATCACAAAACTTCAATATGAAGTGTATAAAAAGCGAGGGGAGACGTGTATAGGCAAGTTGTGCTGCAGATGGGTGTGCATGGCAAGTGTGCTGTTGGAGGGAAATACAACAAACTTCTTCAGGGTGAAGACGTTTGTAAACATGCACTCATGTGCCGGCGGTATAGGTAGCGTTCATCAGCAGCTTGCTCAAAGCCACTGGGTGACAAACAAGATCACAGACCAGTTAAATGATATGCTGATCTTACACTT